CTTGCACCCTGACTCCTGATGTTTATGAAATGGAAAATAAGAATACATTTTAGGAGTTGGTATCAGTTCTGTACATACACATAACCGCAACATTTTGGCAGTGCTTTGCACGTTCACTTTTTCATGAAGCTGCAACATAACACAGCCAGTTGCTAAGCGTCTTGACCCAATTTCCAGAACAACTGTCTTCTTAAATGTTAGAACAAAGAGAAAGGTGAACCGGAGTAACATTCCCCCCTCACCACCTCTTTAAGTCTCCAGACGCAGAAGGAGTAACGGCTTCTAACAGCAGGGAGAGGAAGTGCTGTTGTTTTTAACTGTGAAAAAAAAAATAAATCCTGCTTCACGTCTGAACCTTAGCTGGCTCGGTGGCAGCTGACACCAACTGTGGCACGTTAAACACACACCTTTTTCATGGTCCACTTCAATGGTCATCAGTAGGGACGGCATGATAGGTATTTACTGACATAAACGTTAAAGGAACGGGGGCGCATTCTTCGAATAAATGTTCATGTTGGATAAAAATGAACCTACTGAATGTAAAATCAAAACAAACAAAGCTGTCCAAACCAACCTTTCCATGTCTGAAAATATGATAACCTCTCTGCTAAGTCATGAATTAACTGTGATTAACCACATTTTTCAAATTACCTGAACTCCCAGACCTGATTACGGATTATAGAACCTGTCTGACAACATGAAGTAGGCTGAACAATCTCAAACAGCTATTTGAATAGCGTGCTCGCTTGTCTCATCCATTTTGAATAGTATGTAGTGTATTTATTACTATAATAATCAAACTTAGACGAATATGAGAAATCGTTTTTTCAGCATCCCAGGCTGTAAGTGTATACAAGACGAGTTCTGAGTGTCAAAAGCAAAAGATGAAGGAGAGCATTGGCAGAAACAGGGACAGGAGAGGAGAGTGGGATGTGTTCCTCCCGAGTATGAGCCCTGGAAGGATTCAGAGCTGCACAGAATCCTTAATGAGGAGGGATTTACAAACAAGAACCTTAACTGCTCCCAGGAACACAGGGAGCCCCCCTCCACCCCCAGTCAGTTAGACTAATCAATCCCCTCGATCTCTTTCAAAAGACTCGTCCTGACTCTCTAAACGTGCAGCAGTAAAATCCTTTTTTTGAAAACTATCAAAAGGAGAACGATGCACCAAATGAAAACAAACAGGCTTCAAAGAGCTGCAGATTCAAAATGGCAAACGTTGTATACACTTAGGTGCTCACCAACGAGCTCTGGGTCGTCACAAACACATTACCCTGCCCAAGCTGCCAACGCCAGAGACAATACGGGAGCGCAGGGCCGGCTGGCTATTCAATAATGGCTCAAAATGGGGGAAATGGCTTCTGAAATTACATTTTCTGGGGGTGTGGGGTTGGTTCTCATTTTAAGTACACAGCCGCAGATTCGGATTCATTTCCTGTGTGACTCGGTCAAGCATCGCATCCATCAAACATCCCATAGCTTAATCTCAGATGTGACGGGATTAACAGCATGTCAGGAAAATATTTTTCTGCTATTTATCCCGTAGGAACTTTCGATGTACATGTTTTTTTTTAGATCTTGTCTAAAGTTAGTATATCTATGTTCCACTGTTAGAAATGTCTGAGGACACAGTGACAGCAACAAATAACTGGAGCAGGAAATCTTTGGTAGCATCTTGGACTCCACACTGTGAGGAGCTTTTGCTACTTTACTTGTTACTGTGTGCAACTATATAATCCACAATGTCTCCAGTTATTGCACTTTCCTTCGTTCAAAATCCTTAATCTGATTGGGGTTTTTTTGTTGTTGTTGTTTTGTTTTGTTTTTTTGTTAGAAAATTTATATTTTCATGTGGAAGGGTTCCACCCAAGCAGAAAAAAAGGTTGTGTGACATTGCTGCCACCTAGTGGACAGCCCCCACCACTAAAGACTTAGTTTTTTAACTAAAAATAATGCTTCTAAAGGTTATCAAATCCAAGAATAAATTAAGATTTTTATTTAAGTATGAGGGTTTTCCAAGCCAAATTTCAGGTTCCTCCACCTACTGTATGTTTCTTGATACATACATACATGCCTATAGTTTTGATTTGGTAGTAAATGATGCCGTCTGGAGATGAAGAGTCTGAAGCAATGTGCCTTCTGAGTTGCAGAGGACAATCTACTAAATACTAACTAAAAGGGTAAACTGAATTCAAATCCAAGTGAAAAGATATGTTTTTATTGGACTTTAAAGGATGACGACAAAGAAAAGGAGCAGGCTTCCATGTGTGTCGTCCAGAAAACGTGTGCAATTTGAACTCATCGTTTTCCAGGTTTGGTACATTATTGGCAGAAAGGGGTTTTGGGAAAATGTTGCTGTTTCTAGACTGTATGTCCTGTTCCGTTGTCAAAAAGTTCCACTCCTCCATCCGTCCATCCACCCATTTATCCGATCACCTGCTCAGCCATCCATAATTTTTTCCATTTTAACATATTATTAAGAGCACAACACCTGATGAATATCTGTTTTAAATGTGATTTAAAGTTTGGTTTTTAAACTTGGAAAAACAGGTTGAAAGCAGGAAAATATTTGACAGTTTCAGTCTGATAAATTATGGATTGTTGACATGCAAATATGTAAAAACGGGACAGTTGAACCATTTACACTCCACTACTAGTTCTAAGGTCCTGCTCTTTCACACAAAGCCATGAGAAGTGACAATTGTAATAGAAACTGGATCATTGAAGTAGGGAAGGAATTATGATGTCTATGTTGTTCCTATAGGTAACAACGGACAGTGAATCCGACAGATTGGGTGGTTAAAGTCTCCTATCACTACCAGTTAGTTTCTTGTCTTTGATGTACATAGCACAGTGGGGGGGTAGAGAGGAAAGGCTCACTGTGAAAAACTTGTGAGCAGAAGAAAACATAATTTCTTCCCCTTTGAGATCACGTTGTGTGTAACTGTTCAATTCTGCTGCATTTAAACTGTGACTTCAAAGCAGGAGGCTCTACAAAGGAGTGACTTCAAACATCAAACCTGGCCGTTTCACTCCAAATATGAATTTCATTTTTTTATTATTATTAAACAAAGAGATCTAAGGGTTTTTTTTGTTGTTGTTGTTGGTTTTTTTGAACTCTTAATATTATTTTCTGACACTGTCACTGTCAGAAGGGTTTATGCCTCTCAAACTTTTGCACATTTTGTCATTTTACAACCAAACACTTTGGTCTTTACTTCCTTGAAATTGCGTGTGATTGACAAAATCAACAAAGTGCATAATTATAAGGTGGGAGGAAGCAAAACAAGGTTTTAAATATATTTTTAAAAGATTTGGCAAGTTTGAGAATCAAAACTTTTGCAAAATATTCGGCTCCTCTCCACACATACTGCATATCTTTGTATAAAATCCAAATTGAATACAGATGCAAATCTATGTGTAGAATAGTTTGAAAACAATGCATCACTTTCAACCGTGTTGAAATAAGAAAATGACTCAACGGCGATGAAACGGATACTTTTGGAAAGCACAGTCGGTTTGCTGTCACTTTGTAGCAGTTCGGTTTTGTGACTCAGATCCCGTTAAAGAAGCTGATTCATTCTGTTTTCAGCAAAACCCGCAAAGGCCTCTGATAACATCTCTGCTTTGCATGAGTGTGAACGGCGGCCAAACATGCAACTGCAAAACACGGCGCGGGGAGATTCAGCTCGCAAACATTCCCTGAAGTGTAGGACAAGGCTCTTAGAAACCACATGTTCTGTTAAATTTGCAAAAACTTAAAAGGCAAACGAATAAAGGCACCCACACACATATGCAAACATAAAAAAAACTCATGCAAAGGAAGTAAGAAATGTGTCTGATATGGCATAAGAGGCTCGTTATGGTTTCCTCACACGAAAACAAAACTACTGCAATATTGCATTAACACACACACGCACACACACACACTAGCTGCCTGTGCTTACTTCTGCCCCCTTTCTGAACGTTTGCATGTCGGTTCAGCACACAACAGCGCCCCTCTGTGGCTGCTTTGTTGAATTGAAGCCTCACCTCTGTTGTGACTGGGCCGAATGACTGGAGGCTGCGGGAAAGGATTAGCATTTGGATTAACGTCTTTAGAAGAAGCTTAAGGTGATAATGCACACAATCATATGCATATTATTCTAACAGGCTATATTCCACACAGACATCTTTAGCAACGCACATTATGAAAAAAGACAGTATCACTCTTGTATCTTATGCATCACTGGACTTTTATTATTATTATTATTATTATTATTATTATTATTATTATTATTATTATTATTATTATTACGGAAGATAGATCAAATTATCTATATCGCCTTTCTTCCTTTTGAACTTGGTCGCTGGCATGATGCTGCCACCACCAGTATATTCTATATAACAAAGTGTTCAGGTTCAGGTTCAGTGTTGGGAACCGGAGCTCCTCCTTCATGGTCTTCTCTCATCAATTGTTTTCCTGGTCCCATCCGTCTGAATTAGCTCCGTGGTGAAACGAGATGATGCAGCTCAGCCCGGCATATCCTTACTGGCTCTAATTTCATGTAATCATCATTAATGGCTTGTAATTACAGCGGCGTCACGACGTCGCAGCGGGGCTGCGTCAGCGTCAACACGTCCTGACTGCAGATGCTGCCTTCAAATGCCGGTTGGAAATGGGAACGAGCCCGTTCTGTTTGCCTCATTTTAGCCGAAGTTGCAGCTCGGTGTGCGTAATTATCATAAATGTCATTTTATGACGTTGTGCAAATTAAGTTACAAGCGAATTTTGATGTCGGTTTGCGAATGTGTAATTTCTTATTCTCTTGCTAAAGGCATCTGATGGAAAATCGGAACGGTAGGTTGGCTGAATTATTTCACTGGAGCTTTATTGAACGGGGAGAGCATATTGATACGCAACATTTGACTGTTTACAACTCCGCAGGCGGTCAGCCTTCCGGGAGCTGGTATTTCCGGGCTGCACTAAAGGCACCAGCCGCCCGCTGCCGCATCTCTCGCTTCACCTTGCGGACGCAGCGGAAAATAATTGAAAAACAGCGATGTCAAGGAAAGGGTCAACACAGCCTCTCCGCAGTGAGTGACGGACCATGGCCAGTCGGTGGAGAGAAGGTCAGCGCAGCCGCTCCGGGGACCATGGCTCCAGCCTGAAAACAGCCGCTGCGCCCCGGCAACAGGAGCCGTCCGGGGACGCCGGGGAGCCGCTGCGAGAGCTGCCGAGATGGATGCGGCTTTACCTCTACGGCATGCACGGCGTGACTCTGGACGTCCTGCTCTCCGCCCTGCAGGGGGTCCTAACCACTCGGGACCCTAAGCTGGTGGGCTTCTCCTCTCCGTACCTGTGCGTCATGCACGCACTGACCCACTTCGCGCTGGAGAAGGTCTACTCCCAGAAGAAGAGCTTCCGAGGGCGGCCCGTGGTGTTCCACCTGGTCTTTTACCCGTCTGTCTACATCGGACTGCAGATCCTCGTCGGGAACATCAACACTCTGGCGGAACAGGTGCGAGTGGTGTCCGGGACGCAGCTGGTGGTCCACTACATCCTGGCTTTGTATTTCTCCCAGGTGTTCCACAGAGGGCTCGCGCACCTGCAGTACCAGCCCAGCGACCCCGGGAGGAGCCGCGGCGGTCCGGATCATCATCGTCATCATCATCGTCATCATCATCATCATCATCATCCTTCTGGTGGACTTCCCGGGTTCGCCCGGTTCTTGTTCTTCGGCATGCACGGTTTCCTGGACGAGGTGTTGTTCACGTCTCTGTTCAACCTGGTGGAGAAAGGGGTCAGGGCCGCCCAGGGCCACACGTCCCTGTGGTCCTTCCTGATGTACGGCAGCTGCAGCTTCGTGGTGGAGAAGCTCTACTTCCACCTGCACTTCGGGAGAGGCTGGGGCACCTGGCGGCGCCTGCCCATCTACATCTGCTTCATCTACACCTGGGAGTTCTGCTGCGGGCTGACGCTGAGGCAGTTTGACGCCTGCTCCTGGGATTACTCCCACTACCCGCACAATTTCATGGGACTCATCACCCTCCTGTACCTCCCGGGCTGGCTGATCCTGAGTCTGTACCAGGACGTGCTGTCCAACGTGCTGCTGAGAATAAGGTGCACCAAAGAGCCAGACTGCATGAGTGTGGAGAATGGAGAGGTCAACGGACCATTGGAGTCGAAGAAAAAATAACTCTTGATGCAAAATCAGCTTCCTGGCAGACCTATTAAAAAAGGATTCAGGTTCACCTCAGCAACTTGGACCATCTACAATGAGTTCATACGTTTCTGTGATTCCATTCAAAATGTGAAACTCACATTTTGATCTACAGGTTTAATATCTGAAGCATTCGCTAGCTTTGAGAATGATGGCTTCCCAAAATTCAGATTTTCAAAAGTGACAAACAGTGAGGAAGGCTGGCTCCTTATTTGTGTAAAATGTAAAAGAGGTATATTTTCCAGTTTACAACTAATGGAAACACTCAGTCTTTGAAAGGTATCAACTAATTTGAACAGAAAAATCACACATACAAAGTATACCTGTGTACTATGCAATGTAATGACTAAGCCCAAGTTGTTTCAGATTTGACTTTTTTTTCTTCTACACTTTTACCTTCCACTAAACTTTCCAACAATGGGCTTGTAACAGTAATCTGAACAGTCACTTCTCTACAAATGATTTTTTCTCGTAAATGCTGACATTCCCCTGTTTTATATATTGTTATTAGTATTCCAGTTTTCTGGGAAACTAAATTTCATTATTTTCAAACCATAATATTAATGGGATACTTATATCTATTTGTATCTAATGGATTTATTCAAATATGTGGGTTTCACTTTAGTTGAATTACTAAAACTCTTTGATATATCAACATGCACCTGTATATCATATTTTACTGAACATGTTCTGATTTTTCACTTTATGACGCCCAACTGAGACCATTGACTGTTTATCTAACCCGTATAAATTACATGAAATTACTGCCGTTTTCCTCTGTACAGTGTAAAATCTTGAATTCTAAAATAAGAACATTTTCTATTTTGATATGTTTACAACTGTAACTGCGCGTTTTGTGACGGATTTCATCTGCAGGCCAGAGCCGGCCCAAAGTATCATGCAAAACAAAACGTCCGACACCTGACATCTTCAATGTTATGTTCTGTAAATTGGAGCAGATCGACTGCGGCAAAATTTATGGAATAGATTATTTTGTGATTAAATAAGTTAAAATGTTAAAAGAAACCCACATGGATTTTTGTGTCTTCCGTTCTTTTTGTGCATGTGGTACAATCGACTTATTTGTAAATTTAAAGACGTATGACCTTATTTCATCTTATGTGTATAAGTCACACTTTGTCCGCTGCCTTGGTCCGGCTCTGGTGCAGAATCGCCAGTGGAGGAATTGTGGGTAGTTTTTAATCGCAGCAGGTCGTTTAGCATGCCATAACTCCTGCACATACCTGCATGCTCAAACTGTGTTGAAAAATGTTAAACTTTTTAGACTTTTTAAAAACAAAGTACAACGCACTGAGTTTTGCCTGATGTTCCAAAGTCAGTATTTCCAGAACTTGAATTTGTCTGTTTAATTCTATTTTAATTTTTTCCATAAACCACCAAATAGTTCCAAAATAAAAAGTAAAGTTCCAGGAAATTGTTAGAAGGAGCTGAGAGAACTGCCTTTAAACTTTTAATGGAAATTCACTTTTAAAAATGTTGAACTATTCCTGTGGAGTTATCGCATATTAACCCAGTCATGAATGTAGCAATGCAGCACCTTGAGCAGAGTAGAAATTTGGAACCACGTGGGATTACTGTGAATTTTTCATGAACCAAACATTACTGGAGTGCCTTTCTGTGCAGAGACTCGATTAAACATAACATGACTCCTGCAAGTGCTACAGCCATGGATCCCAGCATCCCAGACAGATTACACATTGGAAACTGACATTGGTTTGAGTGCTCTCTAATGGAAAAAGCATGCTCTTGTAAAACTGGGAAAAACAATTGTGTGAATGTTTTTTAAAAAGAAAGTGAATTTTCATCTTGTACATAATTCCCCAGATTCATTTGGAAGTGCAATTGTCCCAGATAAAGACTATCTTGATAAATATCGTTCAACTTCTTAAAGCTCTGAGGCTGGCTTGGTGATTTTGTTGGCTTGTTCTATGGACTCGGCAGGTATATTGATATTCTTTAACATTTCAAATATTTACGCCATTTACTGCATGACTGAACGACTTTGCACATCCTAAACATATTCCATGACCGCATAACTGTACCTTAACCACACGTGTTTTGAGCACTTTCATAAAGAAAGAGACCAAAACGAGTTTGAAAAATCAATTAAAAAAAAGTTTGAGTAAGATGTACATCCCTTCTAAAGAAAAACAACAAAATAAAACTCAGCAGCATGAACCGTATTAATATTTTTGTTTTGATGAAAAGCTTCAACTTGTACTCATTCATTGTATTAATAAAACGACATCTGTCGCAATCACCAGTGTTTGAAGTAGCTCTGTCAACAAGCACACTGAGAATAAATTTACATGTCAAATTGAACCTGTTTAGTTTTGCTTTCACTTTCCTACAGATGAGCCTGGATTTTGACCCTCTACTCAGGTTACCCATTAAATGTAACACATAAAAGGTGAAATTCACCTTTTTAAGTTAATTAGATATAATAAGCTCAAAGGTAAACATTGTACTGTTTGTAGTGTTTGCCCTGAACAAGCAGTCGTTCAGACAGCACACCACCCAAGGGATTTCAACTGAGCACCCCAGCGACTTTCAGCACACTTCACTGCACCTCCTGCTGGGAATACATGATGGCACCTAATACCCGCTCATTAGCGATCTCAAGCTAATGTGGCAAACTGATTTGTGAGGTTTCGGGTATACGAAAACAGGAAGTGAGACAAAACCATTTACCTCACCACAACTTCCTTTACAGAGAACCCCCTCACCAGCCTGATACTTGCTGAAGCTATGAATAATCAGTTTGAAAGGCCTCATTATTTATCTCAAGTGCACAGCCTGCATACTGTGAGAGGAAGCCGCCGTGATGTTATCCAGCAGTTGCTGCCTTGGCCGTTTGAGAGCCTGAAACCCCATATTTGGACAAAAGGACGAGTATGAAATCTGATACTTTGAAACGGGTTGGATAAAAGTATATAGAGTTGACATTTTCGGCCTGATGTGTGTTCATCTGGACCACAATGTAGTAAGCAACCAAACTTTATGCAGCCTTACAACATGTATCTAAAATTAGTATAAAGTAGTGTAGGTAGAGCTTTGCCTGCAGCCTTGGCAACTGAATATTTTAAATAAGTTTAACAAATGAATATTGAGGAAAACGTTCAAATGTTTCCGATGATGTGCTTTCATGTGTTTGGATGGAGTCTAATGAAATATGACAGTCAATGGGTGACTTCATGCTGATAGGCATTATTTTTTGGCATCACATAATCCCATATCCGGACAGCAGACTATCAGTAGCTTACTGACCATAAAGGGATTAGTGATTTTACCCAGAATGGCCTCAATAAATACAATAAAAAAAAAGGCTAAAATCTCAAATTTTATTTTTGTTTCAGTTTAGTTGATTAATTTCTGATGCCATTCCTTTCACTTTGATTTACCTGTTAAAAGGTTTGCTATGGAAGAGAAATGTATTTCAATTTCTGCAGGTTATTACTGTAGACTGCACTAATATGTACTAAATAAATCAAGACTCCTCTGTGTAATAAGTACAGCGTTAGAGCAAAATAATTTGCTAGAAATCTGTAAAGTTGTATTTTATTTCAAGATTTTTCTTATTTCACTCATTTCTATCTTAAATTTGTGATTTCAGGGCACGAAATCAATACCATCTTGCCACCAATCTTGATGTGCTTGATTTACATATGCAGTCAAATCACAGGCAAATATCCACCGAAGGTAAGATTGTCTCTGACACCAAATATTGATTCTGGCCATTGTAGTCACATAGACAGGAAACACTTAATAGAAGGTGAAAAAAAAAGCATTGGTGTAGTCTGTGTATTCGTTTTATTAGTGGTTGTTGACTAATACATGAACATTAATTGTCAGAGTAGAATTATTGTTCATTTGTCCCTAAAATGGCTATCATAAAGATTAGCTTAGTGAGAAAAGTCTCTGGGAATCGGCCGTTCCAGATGAGTTCAAAATCAGTCATTTCTGCCATGGATGGGACGGCCAAAAAACACCCGTAGACTGGAAACTATGGATCACCACCTGAAGGCATCTGTGGAATCTCCCCATTGATGCTTTTGCCTGACAAAGAGAAGAAATGGGAGCACTCAGACTGACGGTGCTCCAAAACCGGATGGTACAGAACCTGCTGACTGCTATTGTTGTTTGTTCACATCCTGCATGTGATGAGTGTATTGATGCATTGTATTTGCTATGCTTTAAGAATATATAAAAAAAATATTAACAGATTTTTTAAAAGATTTCTCTATTCCTCATAGCACATGCTTATTTGTATTCATTCCATAAATAGAGGGGAGTTTTGCAAATGGTCATCTCATGAATCAGTTGTTTGTCTCTCCGCTCTTCGCTGAAACTGGGTGCGCTGGAACGTCCTGCTCTCAGAGACATCGGTACCAGCCAGCTCGGTAAGGAGTCGGTACCAACCGACTCCTTATCTTGAAGTTTCTGTTTGGTCTGACCAACATCCGCCCCCCTTTTAATAAAATAGACTGCTGCGGGGAGGCAAGTCGGAGTTTCGAGGCACCACTGTGGTTGTGTGATGCTCTAAACTCTGCCTCTTTGCAAAGTATAAATACGCTCTGTGTGGTTATCTATATGTACATTTATATGTATGTAAAATACTTAACAAAAAGCTTATTTGTGACCTCAAACCTCTCCACATGTTGGCGCTTGACAGCCATCAAAATCAATTTATTCTGTTCAAATTCGGTGTGATACACTGACACAAAGTAGTGCATATTTGCGAAGTGCTAGAAAAATAATACATTGTTTCCAATTTTTCTGAAAAAAAAAGTATTCAAAGCAGTATGAAGACCAAACAACAGAGGAGGCTTGAGTGGGTTATGATAAAAAATTTAAAAAATTGCTTCCCAGCTTTTAAACATCTCAGAGTTCTGCTCAATCCACCTTCTTAAAATAAATACTGAACCACTCAACTGCAAACCCTGTAAGAGATGACTCACCAACTGAACAGACAAGCACTGCAGAGAAAACGGCCAGTGCTGAGAGAGAGAAAACCAACAAAAGTCCTGTTTGCAGTCTGCAATGCCACATGTAGAGAACACCACAAATGTTTGGAAAAGACACTTGGTTTGAACTTCTTGGGCCACAACCCAAAATACCACTCCTGCACACAACCACGAACACATCGTCATCCACACAGTAGAACATGGTGGTGACGGTATCATGCTGTGCCATCATCCCTTCACCCTTAGCAGCTTGTAGTGTCGTCTATTGGACCCGTCGTCTCTGTCTAACTACAGCAGTGTGTTTCGTGACGTTCGTATCGATGATGTACCGTGTTACCTGATCGCCCCCTGATCCCATCACATCTATTGCCTCGCCTCGAGATCTCCGTAAATCCAGTCAGGATCTCTACTGGTTCTACACAAGAGAAACACATGAACTCTTTTTCACACTATGTTGTCATTTTGTTTTAAATTTGTGAAAGTTAAAGTGCAGGTGCAGATTATGACAGGGAGAGCACCACAAGTTTTCTGTTTTGCTACCTCGGCAGGGGTTTTGTTACATTCAAGAAACCAAATGCCGCCAGAAAACTGGATCTCTTGAGTGGAAACCCTTCGCCGCAGCGATGGAAGACGTAACCTTAGACAGAGCTAATCTAATGGAGTGCGCATTCAAACAGACTTTCAACACAGCAGGAGATTGAGGGAGCTTGTTCCTGACGTTGACACTGATGACATGTATTCAGTTGTTTGTTCCCAAAAATAACTACAAACCAGAAGTGTAGATGGATAAACAGAGCGATATTCTGCTTTTCCATGATTATTAAACAAGTCTACTCAAAATCAAAGACATATATAAAATATAAGAAGTTGTTCAGTAAACAGTTACCCTCTATCAAAAATAGTTTTACTTCTTGGGCAGCACACATTAAATCTGGATGTCTTTACCTGCTTTTTTTCTCCTTTTAAGGCCATTTTTGAGGTTCATTTTCTCTAATTAATCGTCCAAATTGATCTAAATTATTCCATTGTGGCTCTTGCTGCATGGTTACGTTAGTTGAGCTCATGACCTTTGCCCCAAAGGGGTGTGCTTAGTCTATATTAGATATCCACAGCACATTAGATTAGATTAGACATTGTCTCCTCTATAAAGCTATTACCTTGAACTATTAAAAAATTGTTTGCAATCTTTTGTGAAGAAAAACCTAAATCCCTCACTGTACCTTGAGAAAATGGTGTAATTCTGCCACCTTGTGGTCACACTGGAAGCATGAAACAAGCAGTTGGGATTTCTTATCTATTATCTGGGACAGGGTAATGCTGCTGACTTTTTTCCAATCTCCTTATTGAATAAAAATGAAAACTTTTTCTGTTTGTGAACAAAAAATAATATTATCAGTTAACGTGATTGAATTTCTGGCCATCAGCCAGAGATGGCTCCTAATTTGATATTTTGGGTGCAAAGTAGCTGAACTGCAGACCTACATATTTATCAGCTAATTACTGTTTAATTTTATCACAGGGAAAGCAGGTAGGAGGTGTGACTCGGTCCAGCCTAGCAGGCATCTTCAGATATAAGCTTCCTTGTTTTCTCACCAATCAAACATATTCATTATAGGTACACGATTTAATCATTCAAAGCAAATTGCCACTTCTCGCATGGAATGATCCATTTGGATGGCCCTGTTATGACATTTCCATAAATCCTGGGTACCTAACATTGTGAAGAGATCCAAAAAAGCGGGCATTATTAAATATTCATGAAGAAGCCTGTAAGGGATGTCTTCCTGCAGATAACAAAATATAATATTCATGATGCCCTCCTCCTTCAATCTCTCATAGTCTCAAAAATGGGTCAGACAAATCTCGTAGTTGTTGGCTAATAAAAATGTTCTGACACATTTCTACAGGACTTAGAAACATTTTCACAATATGTCATGCTAAACAACAAACTTTTGAATTTTAATATAAATATGGTGTCATTCGATTAGAGAGGTAAAACCTTCATTCATGCACATAACAATCTACATTGTGTCAGATAACATCCCCCAGAAACACCAAACTTTGTTGCTGCAAAATGGCATAATGTGGAAAAACATCAAGGGGTGTACATACTTTTGCGAGACGGGAAAGTCATCTGCACTAATGCTGCCACACCCACTGTTCTTTATGCAATGACTTAAGGAAAAAAATATATACCAGATATTTTACACTAGCAGTAGTGTTTGCTTTCGGTTCTCGTCTTGGCCTTGTGGAATCTAAGTGCATACCAACTGGTTTCAGTTGTCTGTGTCATTGA